AAGAGAAAAATATGTCGAAGTCTTTTGTTGCAGATTATATAACTTCATTGTTGAAGAGAAAGTGTGAAGTGGGGGAATCTGGAGATCGTGAGAGAGCGGTTAGAAGAAAGAAGTTTTTTATTTATGTTAATATAAAAATTAAAAGGAAATATATCTTTCGGATATATTTTTTGTTGTAAATATTGAAAAGACCATTTTTTGGGACTTTTGCCACATGATATTTTAATAGGAAGAAGGAAGCAGTTAGAATGACTTGTGAATTATAATAAAAGGATGTTTTTTTTTTTTATAGTCATTGCCAATTTTTCTAAAATGAATTCCAAATACGTTATTACGTTTCCGATAAAAAAAAAAAACGGATGGTTTCAAACACTGCCACGTGTAGTGTCCCAGAAACCTCGAAAGAGTCGAAGCAAAGTCAAAGAAGAATATTAGAGTAATAAGTGGAGGGAAAAAGTCAGATATTGAAATATTTGTTCTTATGGTTGCTTTATTTATCCGAAGACTTTTATTGAATTTTCTTCTACATGTCCAATTTTAATTGTAGTTAGGCATAATTGTAAGTTAGAGATAAGAAGAGATTATTAACTGGATGAAGATAATGCTAATAATCGGACTGAAATCCAGTGATAGAAAAACCAGTTATATGTGTGTGAGTTGCAAATGATAATGGTAACCAGTAAACCCAATCCATTGAATATCATTAAAAAAAAAAAAAATGGAGCTTTCATCATAAACTAATATCCGAAAAAAAAAAAAACATCAATCAGTGGCTAACATGGGATTTAAGGACAAGGATTATTATGTCACAATCAGAAAATGACTCAACCATCAAAAGAATAATTTATTAAATCGAGAAGACATGAGTGTTTTTGTATGATTTAAGATAATGCTATTTTTAGGAGCAGAGAAACGCCAATGAGATTATTACTAGTGTGTAGTATTTGTGTCAATGTGTGTGTGGTCTTACTTACAAATGGAGAATGACATTTTTGGAACATAAACGAATAATAACAGATGTTCAACCTCCTAAGGAAGAGAGGGTTCCATTCCATGTCATGTAGGGGTCCTCCATGTTAAAAAAAAAACCTCACATCAAAATGCATTTCATTAATCCACTAG